GTCTCAAAATTTAAAAAAAGAAAGAAAGAAATGCACATGCCACACGTTTTCAGGGATCCTGAGACCACCGAAGACCACACTAAAGTCTAGTCCCAGTTAAAACCTGTTTTACACAGGAATTAATAACTAAAAGATCAGAATACAAATTCAAAGATAGATTTAACTTGACAGTGAAATGCTGGCCACAGACATGGGAAAGTGGAGGCGCTTTTCGCACCTGGCCAGCAGGGGGCGCCCCGGGACCGGAAGCACCGGCGCCAGGAGCCAGGGGAAAGGGGGCCTGGACGTCTGCTGACTGCGGGTCCCCGCACGCTGCGGGTCCCCGCACGCTCCGGCTCCCCGCACGCTCCGGCTCCCCGCACGCTCCGGCTCCGCCGGGGCCCGCTCCAGCCGAAGAGGCTGTTTTTGCGTCCCGCCAAGCCCCGTCACCTTCCCGCGGCGTCTGGAAGATGGAACTCCCTGTCCGGGAAAACAAAACCGCTGTGGCTGTGAGGACCGGGACGGGTGGCGTTGGGGGCCACGGCTGCGTGCCGCTCTTCGGGTGAGCTCCTTGCCTACCGCGGCGGTCCGGGCCCTCCCCAGGCCGTGGCCCCGTCCCGGCCTTGAGTCCTCGCCAGGGCCGGCGGTGGACTCGCTTTTCCAGCAAGGCCCGGGGAAGCCCGCGCAGCCCCAAGCCCTGTGTCCCCTCCAAGGGCTGGGAGTCGGACAGCCCCAGAGGCCGAAGGGCCGGCGGAGCTGCAAAAGCTAGGCCCGATCCTCCCCTCTTACTAAAGAGACTTTGTGCCTGTAGTCCTAGCTGCTCGGGAGGCCCAGGCGGGCGGATCTCTTGAGACAAGGAGTTCGAGACCAGCCTGGGCAACATGGCGAGACCCCCACCCCGCCCCGCCCCAACCGTCAACACCCTGTCTATACCAAAACATACAAAAATTAGCCAGTCTTATAGCCCACTCTCAAAATAAATTTTTTAAAAATCGATGCTGGTGGCGTGGGGGGAGGGGAAAGAAAAAAGTGTAGAGGAATCCAGAGTAGAGCGTCAGACAGGCCGAACCAAGTCATCCTTGATGCCCAGCACAATGCTGGACGTCCTCTCCGCTTATTCTGGAGCAGGGTCAGCCCTGCAGTTGGGTGGCTCTGCTGGAACGCAGGCTGCAGTGCTCACCAGGCTTCAGTTTTGGATCTGAGCCGCAGTTGCCTCACGTACAAAATGCGTATAAGGCACTTACCTCTTGGGTTTGGGGTGCGGGTTAAACGAGATACTGAATGTGAACGGTAATTTCGGAGCCTGTTACACAATAAACATTTAATGAATGTCAACTATGGGTTTCTTTTAAATGGGTTTCTTGGTCAGGACTTGATAGGACATGACACAAAACCCTTTGCCATTGCAGTGTTTATTTTAAAAACGAGCTAGAGGGCTGGGCGCAGTGGCTCACACCTGTAATACCAGCACTTTGGGGAGGCCGAAGCCGGCAGATCACCTGGGGCCAGGAGTTCGAGACCAGACTGGCCAACATGGCGAAACCCCATCTTTACTAAAAATATAAAAATTAGACAAGTGTGGTGGCACCGCCTGCAATCCCAGCTACTCAACAGGCTGAAGCGGGAGAATCACTTGAACCCAGGAGGTCGAGGCTGCAGATGAGGAAACGGGCTCAGAGAACCTTCCAAGCTCCTACAGCTAATCAGTAGTAGAGCCAGGATTCAAAATCAGATCTGGGTGAGCCCAAAGCAGGAGCTGGCAAACCAAGGATTATGGGCCAAACCCAGCCCACTCATTGTCTGTTTTGGTAAGGAAAGTTTTGCTGAAACAAAATCAGACTCACTCATTTACATAACCCTGATGGCCGCCTTCAAACTACAATAGCAACATTGAGTCCCTGCAAACGAGTCTATGTGGCTCTCAAAGCCTAAAATGTTTACTATCTGGCCCTTTATAAAAGTTCACTTGTAAACTTTTTTTTAAGTAGAAAAACTCCGCTTGGAAGCCTGTTTTCTTGCCACTTCATCTCTCTTCTTCTCTGCTAATATGCCACTGCTATTATAATATTGCAATGATCACTCTTGCTCCCAACAGGTGGAAGGACAGCGTGCTTCTCATGGAAAAGACCTCAGCAGGACACGCACAGAAATCCAGGCAACTGGGACAGAAACCATGTCCTCCAGGAAGGGAGTGGTCCGTCAGCCCAGAGATCGCCAAGGTCAGAAAGATCCTGTGGCCTTGCTCTACCAACTTTTGGCAGCCTGCCTGGCCACATCCCTACCTCCCACAGGCCTGTGCTCTGGCTCCGGGATGTCACCCTGTTCTCTGCAGGTGCCAGAATGTTGCTTTTGCATAATCCCAGGGGCACCATCTGCATGTTCCAGGGACTCCATCTCCATAGTTACTCTGGGGGCTGTGATCACCTGGGTGTGAGTCTGGAGTGGGTAGAGAGAGCGGTGTGGCTGTTCTAGGGTCTGCAGTGACAGACTCTGGCTTAAGGGTTCTGGGAGAGGAGACTGTGTCATGGGGTTTGAAGGAAGGGACCTAAGACTCTGCAGCTTTTGGTCTTTGCAGACCAGTGGGACTTGAGGAGATAGGGGAGGAAATCCTGGGGAAGAGGTTGAGGGGACTGTCATGAGTAGGGAGTGCGAACCCACACGCGCCCAGCACCACGTAAT